ACAAGTAGTGAATCTGCAGGACTAAAACATTTTGTACACACACACACACACACATACACACACATATATATACAGAACAAATCTTTCTCCATTCCTTCTCTCCCATCAAGAAAGAGAAATATAAATCTCAGGAACAACTGCAGAAATATGAGATACACCAGAAGAAATGTACTCTACATTTTAAGAAGTGTCTGCATTTTCCATTCTCTCTGTAGACACTTCTCTTGATCCCTTGAACTCTACCCACATTATGAAGCTGTGTTGGGAACCAGCAGGACAGCACAATATTTCATGGCCCAAAGATGACTTCATATAATGCTTTTGAGATCTCAGATTGGTTATCCCCACTGGCAGCAGTTTTTGTCCTGCAGATTCACTACTTGTTAGTACTGTCAAAAAGTGTTGATTGTTCCCACCCACTGCTGCCTGATGACCATTACAAATGTTCTTGTGAGAATTAGATTTATTATGCCTAATCCCTTCACAACCCTTGTTTACTTGATACAAAGGAAAACCCCAAACAACATTCCTGTGTTGCAATTAAATAGGCACCAATGAAGCTCTGGTTGTACTTCTTTAAAGCATAATGTGCCAGGGATTTTTTTCCATCTCTTCTTTGATTGGAAGAAGTTGCTGCCAGTGGGGATAACCAATCTGAGATCTCAAAAGCATTATATGAAGTCATCTTTGGGCCATGAAATATTGTGCTGTCCTGCTGGTTCCCAACACAGCTTCATAATGTGGGTAGACTTCAGGGGATCAAGAGAAGTGTCTACAGAGAGAATGGAAAATGGAGACACTTCTTAAAATGTAGAGTACATTTCTTCGGGTGTATCTCATATTTCTGCAGTTGTTCCTGAGATTTATATTTCTCTTTCTTGATGGGAGAGAAGGAATGGAGAAAGACGTGTTCTATATGAAATAAATGTTTAGAACAGATATGTCAGGAAACTAACCAATAATTATTATTTATGTTTGTGCTTAGAAAATTGTGTGTGGGGCAGAGAAAGAAAACAGAGGATTTTGATGTCTGGAGATTCTCATCCCAACTTAATCTGAAACCCTTTTGGCTCCCCCTTTCCTTTGATAGCTTAGCTCCCTTGTGAGATCTTTTATATTATATGTCCATCTGTTGCCAGTGCTTTTTGATAATGTTTGGTGAAAGCTTAAGATATGTGAAGGGACTGAGAAATATTAAAAAAGAAAAAGTGCAAGTTTGAACCCAGGTGTTTTCTTGCAAAGTCTTGGTAGAAGTGAATTAAAATGGGTTAATCAAATAGAAGGCACACTAATGCTTCCCTGATGTTTTACTTCTATAGGTTAAAAGTGAGGAGAACAAGCTAGGCCAAATGAACTTAAGGAGCTTTGTTTGCTGAAATGCTAAGGGGAAAAATATCAGATTAAAGCAAACTTTAATTAGGATGCTGCACAATTTTTCCCTTTCAAAGAGTTGACGGGGCTATGAGTATATTGCAACTCCTTTCATAGGAAACATAGCTACACCAGTGTGTATGAATATATGCCACAGCATAGGAATATACAACATGCAAAACATCCATGCATTCACACACACATATATGCACACACACTTTTCTTGAGCCTAGGTATAACTTGTCCTGGTTTTGCCCAGTAAAGCTATCACAAAAATATCACCTTCCAGTCCACACTGCCTTACTGAAAATTTACATTAATCTAGGAATTGCAAAACAAAATGTCAGTATTGTTCTGCATGGCAGCAGCCCAGTTATAAAACTCTCTCCCTTGGAAAGTTAGATCGGCTCAGTCCTTGATCAGTTTTCGGCAGGCAATGGAAATGTTCTTGATTTATATGGTGTCCAAGGTTACTGAAGAAAGGACAGTCCAGTGCAAAAGAAGTCCAATAACCTTTTTTAGGGCCCAACAAATGAATCTAAGACTTTGGCCCAGAGCGGCTTAAAACAACAACAAAAAACTGCATACATTTTTATATAGAGAAAATCTATTTAGGGAAAAGTCCCTTGTCTGGGGAAAAATAGTCATTTTTCCCCAAGGTTCATCTCAGTTTCTCTCAAAAAAATTATTGATGGGATAATTTCCCTCTTCTTGGGAAAAAATAACCCTAAAAGCTTTGGTATGTCTTCTGCATCTTACATTATAGCCATTTTCTTATTAATCGGTTTGCTTGATTTCTTTCTTTGGTTTGTTCATAAAATGCTTGAGCTATTCCGTGTTCTTCTACTCCCCCCCCCCGTTACCTATCAGTTTTTGATGGCTGCAAAATAAAGCGATGGCTGTCAAGGGATGCCCTTGAAAATTGGGTGAAGCCAAGCATTTTAAGGTGTAGAATGAGTGCTTTCAGTTGCTGAAAAGATTAAGGTACCAATTTCCCCATTCAAATCACCCCAATTTCACCCCAAATTTCCAACCTTTTGGCCCTATATATTTTGTTGATGACTTGGGGCATGGTCTGCTGTGGGCTGAATACGGCCCCTAGGTTGCACTTTTTACCTATCTGATATAAAGGGAAAACTAGGTGAGAGTGAAGGGCACAATATTTACATTCCAGACCTATCAAAAAAGATAACAGGAGGCAAAGAAAATAAGGTGTTCTTCCTAACTGGCATGTATCCTTCAATCTTATAGCAAGTAGGACTGGCATGTTCTCATCATTCTCCAACCTACTGCCCTCCAGATGTGTTGGGACTGCAGTGGCTATGGAATCCTTGAAGCTATCCCATACATCTTGAAGCCCGAGGTTGGAGAAGGCTGACCTAAAAGTTCTTTAAAAAATGATCATGTGCCTAAATTGTCCTTTAATCTCACGATCACTATGGCATTAAAGTACAGGGGTTTTGAAACACATGTGTTTTCAGAACTATTAAAATCATGTTGATAAGAATGAATGAATGAGTAAATAAAAGGGGAAGGAACAGGAGAATTCATGCTGGTTGGGGTATGAGGGTCACAGACAATGGTAAAGGCACTGAGAGCACTAATGGCTTGTTCACAGCCTTGATGTTTTTCATTCATACTTCATTTCTTTTAGGAGAAGCTGTATGCACTGAATAGGACCTGTTGAAAATGTGTAAACTAGGAAGAACAAAGCAGGTGGAAAAGGATGAATGGTGCTATTGCTCAGATCATCCTAGAAATACCTTGTAAGCAAGTCATCAAGGCTAGTGCTTATCACAGATATTGTCAAGTTAAAGTGTTCTTAAAAGGGGGAAAGAAAGAAGTGTAGTAGCATTTCAAATGGGTTTAGCCCAAATTTTGTGTGATTGCTTGAAAAAGGTATGTCTGTTTCTTTTCTGCAGAATGTAATATCTTCACATCTTTGTGGATTAAGTGTCCAAACACTTAAGAACAAGAAAGGATATTTTGCTATACACACTTGTGAAAGGGATTGAGAGAACAGGAAAAAAGTTACTGGGATTCTTCAGATGTTTATGGATTTAGCATTGTTACAGTTATCAAACATTTTGGTTAAGATGTGTTTTTGGGTGTACTGATCTGATAGACACTCAGTTTACAGTGTCATTTGGAACATGATTGTCATCTCAGTTCTACATTTTTTTGGATTTTGCAGTGCAGTTTTGCCTTCTGATGTACAAACATTTTGTAGCTGGGGAAAATTTCTAGAAAAGAAAAAGTGTCTGGGGAACTAGAATGCAAGAATAAATGTGAATTTTGTTTTGTTTTGAAATCAGAAAATGATGTAAATTCGGTGGATTTATAATTCCATGCAGATAAAATTGTAATGGATTAGATATACAGTAAACCACACATTCCTTGCCTGAAATGATGGAAATCAATGATTTCCAGGAGTGAAGTTCTTTCAAACCATCAGCTGCATGGAAATTTGTATGAATTTTAAATACTTTAGAGATAGACTTGCATGCTGTAAGAAGTAT